TCAATAGATCAGAGAGTACAGATTCAGACGACAAGGAAGGTTGTGATGACATTGAAAATGCCAAGGACCTGTAGAACATAGACGTGGCAGTACTGCCACCAGAAGCATCCCCTCCACCTCTACAAAGGAGTGTTTGTCGAAGGCATTCTTCCCCACCCTGTCATCTATGTGATCATGAGATCAGGGGGGAGTGTGAGGAACGAGAAGACTTACCTCCTGCAAAGTGAATTTGCATGGTGTGTCAAGTCTTGTTGAAAGATTGCGACCGGCGTTCAAAGTGAAAATGAATTATTCCGAAACTCTTATATCGCGGACAGGCGTACTACAAAAAATAAAAATAAAAAAGACTAAAAATTCAAGCCAGTGTAAATTTATAAGATCAGAAGTCTCACGTGAACAAGAAGTCTTGTATGCAAATGTTAGTTGCCCCTGACATAGGCATAAATAGCGAGTCTGTGAGGAAGATGGAACAGAACAGAATGTATCGTTGGCATGACGGCTTACGTACTAATAAGAATGAGAGAATAGGAGGTCACTAGCAACAGCTCAGTTGGTAGACCAGAGGACTGGATGAAAGCAAGCACTTTAATTTATTACAGTCATTGCAAACGATGGGCGAACTGAATTATGCACAAGATTACTGGCAATTTTCTGGATACAGCATCTCAACTGGTAGTAAGTATCCCAAACTCTTAGAGGGGCTGCTCCAATCAACATAATAATGGGGTTCTTGCATTGCGATGTCATGCATGGATAGGTGTCCCTACAAGTACTTTTGGTGGGCAACCCTGAGACCAAACAGTCTGCACCAATTTCAGCCAGCTTGTCTTGTCTAGAAAAATCGGCAGCTATTATTATTTTTGGCCTCTTCTAACTTAAAACGTTATCATGACCAAAAGGATTAAGCAAAATAAAAGCAAACTAACTTGCAAAAAAAAAAACAAACACCTAGGCCCCTCAACATTTCTTGCCCCAACATTCATGGTATTTAAACCAATTTCTACAGAATCGTTTCTCTTGCTCTGCATCATGTTCTGTTATTGTTCTTTCTCTTCACTTCTCCTCACTAAAGTTTTCTCATTCTCTTTCATTCCTAAGAAACGCTTTTGTGTCATAGTGGCTTTATTGCTTTGCTTGAGTTGAAATGATTAAAAGAATGAAAGAAAATATGGAATAAATGGAGCCATGATCTAATTTTAATTTAAACAATCATATTATTAAAAAACATAAAAATTTCTTTTTTTTTTTTAAATATATTAACATTTAATGTTTTTCTTTGGCATATAATCTGACATTGCTAAAAAATAAGTATTGGAGAAAAGTCAAATTAACTGATATAATTAGTCAAATCATTCAATATTTATCTATGGACAATATGGAAATGTTCTCATTATCAAGATAACGAGCAAGTGATAATGGAAATAGTGCAAAACAGTCATTCAATATCAATTTTCCTCAGTGGCAGCAAGTGCTGGACAATGTCCTCACAGATGAAGAAAAGACTTGAATCAACAGAGATGATACTAAGAATACCATGTATTGAATATGTGAGCAATGAGGAAGTTTTAGGGAAAATGGAACAAAAAGGTGCAAAGTATTAAGAAACAGGAATCAGTCAGTTATGTGCCATGCATGATACATGGCTGATGAGGCAGATATTTTTCCCACAGTAGGTTGCCATTTCTTTCTGCAGTAGACCAGTTACCATCCAAGGCTATAGAACCCAGTCTGTGCTGCTATTTACCCATAGCTGGGAGAAGAAGATTCATACCTTTCCCAAGGGTATTAGCACATAAGTGAATGTAATGGATACGAATGGAATTTGAACTCGGCTCTCTGATTCCTCAATCCGAGCCACTATCCACTACTCCATCATACCTCCCTGGTATGAATTACTGGTTTATAAAAATTGGTATTAATTATAGGTCTATAAAAAATCTGCTATTAATTATTGGTTTATAATATTGGTATTATAGGTCTATAAAAAATTCTGGTATTATTGGTTTATAAAATTCAGTATTAATCTGGTATTGATTTTAGTTTTAGAAAAATGTAGTATTAATTATAGGTTTCTACCTATAATCAATTAATATCCACCATTTCAAAAATGGGACAGTGATGATTAATGGGTTAATAAGGTTTCAATCTTTGATTTCCTCACACCTGATACGTCTAGTTAATCCAGTTTGTGTTTTTTTTTTTCATTTGTTTAGCAAACAGCTAGTTTATGTCAGTGGAAAGAATTATTCTATTAACTCTTTTGACAGATTAAATGTTTCCTAATTTAGAAAAACTCCTGATGCCAACAATAAGTCTTTTATCAATATAGTCGTCTACAAAATTATGAAAATAAACTAATTTCTATAGATTCAAAAGAAAAAAGAATTGTTTGTCATTTCAACTTTAAGTTCAATTTCTGACGTATCAGTATTTTGAGCCATTATGTTGACAGTTTCTTGTTTCTGTCTTCCAAATGTTTTGGTATTTTCTGATCTGTTTGTTATGGGATGGAGATTGAAAAATGTCAGAAATTGCGTAAAATATTTTTCACCATCAGATGTCAAATTCAAAACTTTTTCTCCATGCTTTCTAATGAGCTGAAAAATATTTCTAAGGAATCATTGTAGTTTTATAGCTGCAACAGTTCAGCTAATTTTTCAATTCCTGGTTTTCAGAGAATTGTAAACAGAAACAATTTATGTGTTAAATCAATTACTATTTCTCATTATAATAATTAATTCATTTTTAAACACATTTTGATTGTCCTGGGTCTGACAATAAAATACATCCAGCAGCAAGGCCTCTGATTTTTGAAGAGCATGGAACCACCTCTTAATTGCTGTTGTTCCCATATCCACTCTGACCTGGGGGTAGTGATACTGGTTAGGGTCCCAAACTTGGGTCAAAAGACTATGAAAGTATAAAAATACATTTTTATAGTAAAAATACCAACAATACAGTTTAATAGTAAAAACAATTACCAGCAATATATTCTTTGGAAAAAAAAATATTCCCACCAATACAATTTTGAAAAGAAAAAATTACCAGCAATACATTTTTGTAAACAAAAATATTAGCAGCAATACATTTTTGAAAAAGAAATTACTAATGCTCCCAAGAAAATTAAATTTTGGCATTAAATGACCCATAAAGAGTTGATATGCCGCTAAACAAACTAACTCAAAATCCACATTCTTAGGCAGTGTCATATTGTCATCAAGCAGTCACCCATCTAGGTACTGACCAGACTAGACATTGCTTAACATTTTTGTAAAAGAAATTACTAATGCTCCCAAGAAAATTAAATTTTGGCATTAAATAATTCATAAAGGGTTGATATGCTGCTAAACAAACATATTTTGTCAAATTAAAATGGATAAAAGTATTTTTCAAAAATATATCTGTTAACATTTGATTAATAAAGAAGAAATGTATTTCAATTAAGCTACAAAGGCTAGACAGTAATAGTCATTAAAATTTCATTTTTTGTTTCCAATCAATGCTGCATACTCAAATATGAAATAATGATCTGGGAGTTGTGGTAAAAAGTAACTGAGATTAAAATGAAAGAAATAATAATCAAGAACTGATAATAGAAGATTAGTATATTTGTCTAAATAATTCCAGGAATAATAAAAGACATTTGTCTTTGAAGTTCAGATTGTATTTGTTATGTTGAGTCATGGCCTTTGACCAAAAGCTACGTTCAATTGTATGCTCTTGGCATTGATATATAAAAAGGAGAATCTTCATTATCACCAGTCATGAGAAACAACTGGATTTGGAGTCTACAGACTGTCAATTTTAGAGTACTGATAATAATTACATGTCTAGTTAGTGTGAATCATTCTCTTCTCCCACCAACCATGGATTAAATAGCAGAGCACTCTAGGCTCTCTACCCATGGTAAGGACTACTTTAATTTCAAAAGCGTATGTAGCCTTAGCAAAGCACATGCTATGCAGCCAGTGTAAGGTGCATGGAGTGTGCAATCAACAGTACTGCAGGATCTTGAGTGTGGTTGATAAAATAGTCAGGTAGATATTAATTTGCAGGTGTACATCTTTGTGTTTAAATATAATAACAGGCATGTGAGTATACATATGAATGTATTTTCTCATTGTGTTGGCATGTGTTGTATATATATATATATATATATATATATATATATAATAGTATATATATATATATATATATATATATATATATATATATATATATATATATATATATATAAAAGGCATCTATATATATATAATAGGCATACATATATATATATATATATATATATATATATAAAGAATAGGATGAAAAAAACAATGATCATTTTAACATGGAAACGCTCTGACATTTCAAACAGACTATCCTGGTTAAACTTTTCAAAACCATATGTATTTTATAAATATATATATATATTCTAAAGGCACTGATATACACATTAAATGTTACTATATATGATATATAAAGATCAATTAATACAAATACACACTTATTATCAGAATTTTGGATCTGGAACTTTCACTGTATAATGCTCAATTCAATATTTATCACTGAAATATAAGACAGGAGATTATGTTTAAAAATAATTCTTTTTTTTTTCATAATTAGGCTATGGACTTATTGATGTATATATGTACATAATACCAGTCCTACTGACATGTCTTTAATGGCATAAGTGATAATGTCCCTCCACAGTATTCTTCTTTGTTAATATCTTTAAACTGCATTTCCATGATTATTCTTGGAAATGATAGGGTATTGATTTCCTGCTGCCTTCTCATAGACTGGTTGCCAACCAATCTGGGGGAAGTGGATCCATACCTTTTCCAAAGGCATTAGTTCAAAGTAATTGTAGACTGTCTCAGCAAGAATTTGAACTCTGATAGCCAATTCCATTTTTGTCCAGGTAACTCACTGCATCACCACCAATGTCAGTACTTTTAAATCTGTGATTCAGTTCTGCTTGTTTCATTCATCCTGTTTTTCTTTTTTCATTTCAGGAATGTCACGCATAAAATGTTGGCATCACTACTCAAAGACAAGTTCATTCAACTTTAAAAACTTTCTTCACAAAGGAAACAAAACACTTTGTTGACCAAGATAAACATTTTTATTTTTTTTGTCATGTTCTTGCACTAAATCTAAAAAAAAAAAACATTTTTTGACAAATTAACCAAACAAGTTTATTGATTATTAATGCATATATATTTGATGAAAAACACAGCTGTTATTTTTTAAATGCAGTTAGAAGTGAAAATTACATTTTATTGAGTAAATGATATATTGTCTGCAGAAGTGTACACATGAACATACTGTTGAAATTTATCCAGTAATTTATGAATTTTTCAATTTTTTAAACCTTTAACTATATCAGTTTTTCTTTAGATGTTGAATTTTGTACAAAAATTATAGAAATAATTATCAATAAATACTGAATTTCAAAGAAAATTATTATTGTTAATTATTAATATTTTTTCATAGATTTCATAGAAGATTATTATTGCTAATTATTGATATTTTTTCATAGATTTCATAGAAAATTGTTACAGTTAATTATTAATATTTTTTTCATAGATTTCACAGAAAATTATTATTATTAATTATTAATATTTTTTAGAGATTCTACAGAAAATTATTATTTTAAATTAAGCTTCTATAAAAATGATTATTGTTAATTATTAATATTTTTACGAAAATAAACCCTGAAGTTAATAATAAAGATAATAGTGTTTTAGTTTTGTGAAAACGGTCATTTGGGGAAGGGGAGGTAATTACATTTACAGATTTTGCATGATTCTGTTTTGGTTATAGTTATGTTCCTAAAACTTAGGTTAATGTTTACACAAGGCATATCAGACATATTAACCTCTATCATACTGTATATGATTTCATTTACAGTACAAAAAGTTTACCCTGCCACTCAGGTGAATCTGATCCCTGAACAATAGTGTGTTTGAATTTCATAGTTGTGTTTTCATATCCTGCTATGACAACAGTAAACAACTTCAAGTGTAATTAACAGTAAGGATGGAAACTTTGAAAAAGAATGCAGTGGAAAGGAAAGTAATATTAATAATGCAGAGTGCTAAAGGTTAAGTAATAATACTTTTTTATAAAAATCAATTTAGAAAATATGGTATACTTTTACAGAATTTTTTAACATTCATCAAGACATTATCAAGAAAAAGACATTAACTTTGCAGAAATTGGACAATTTCTTTATGGTAAAATTAAACTGTTTTTCATCAATTATATATGTAAGAAACAAGATTGACACTGCACTAGTCCTGTTCATAATCAGCCAGAAACTGTACTCACAATGTTTTCAGGGAATACTCTGGTAACATACATTACTTGAATTCACACTGAAATGCATACTTTAAAAAAAAATGGCTTCTTTTCTGGCTGGTTGGGAAATGTTTATTGATGAATTTTCATAACCCATTTTATTAATCAACTAACCTTTCACTCACAAACTTGTATTTCTTTTATTTTTGAAAAATAAAGAACAATTTTTTTTCCCACTAAAACTGCTTTCCTGTTGATTAATGACATTTCATTTTGACCCGTTGTACCGTAGAATTATTTTGGAGTTTCTGATATTTGATTACAGCACTCTTATTTTATTGTCTTGGAGATTCAAAAAAAATATTCTAAATTGAATCAGCTTCTATTTACATCAGGGGTGGGCAAACTGCAGTCTGCGGGCAGCAAGCGGCCTACCTGATGAATTTATGCAGCCTGCAAGAGCGCAGTAAAAATTATTGTTTTAAATATCCATTAATAGAAATTGGTAATTTGTGGTTACATGTTGTACAAAATAGTAATCTATTCAAAACAGGAACAAAAAAAAAGAGAACAAAGATAGTAACTATATATATATTTAATAGCAAATTGTTATTCTCATGAAACTAACTTTCTGCAACATCAATGTTGTGTTATTTTACAATCATAAGCACCTGAATTGCTACCCATCTATTGTTCTGATGTCAATGCTCATCATTGGTATAGTGCAAACTAAAATAGGGATCGAGGTGCCTGTGTGTATTCTAACTAGAGATAACCTCATTTCCGTGCTTTCTTATAAATGTTACATGAGATTTGGCAAAAAATTTCTTATTATTGTCAAAGATTTTTATCAGCTGCACAAATCTCATTAATAATAATAAATGTATTAAATATTAAAACTAATTTCTCAAATATTTATGCAGTCTGCTCACAAAGTGTGTCTCATAGTCAAACAAATGTAAGAATAACATGTGTATGTATCATTATTATTTATATTGTTGTTTTTAGATTCATTGTTTTTTTAGATGTAACCCACTTTAAACAGAACTGGTAATAATGCATTTCTCCATGAAAAATGTTTGTCTGATCTTGATTTGTATAATATTATAAATTTTTTGGTGCACTGGATTTATTTGTACTAATATCCTCATCATCATTATTTATCATCTCAAAATATTTTGATCATCATGTTTGCTGATCAGAAATCATACT